AATCTTTCTAATCAAAAGAAAAGCAATTATTTTAATTATAAACAAAGATTCCAAAATGGTTGACGTTAAGAAGACGTCGGATTATATGTCTTCTGGGAAGTTAGCACTTGGTTTAAGAAATGAAGTTAATCAATTCTTTATAATAGGATAATGCATACGATAATATATAAGCATAGATAGATAGATAGATAGATAGATAGATAGATAGATAGATAGATAATGAACAGTCTGAGATAGATAGATAGATAGATAGATAGATAGATAGATAGATAGATAGATAAGCATATGGAGATAGATAAATTGTTTTTAATTTTTCATCCCAAGCAAGGCAATAAAGCCACTAAGACGCAAGTGCTTACTGAGGGTTAAAGAATATTAGAGAAACACGATTATGGTGAAAGAACAATAAAAGAACAAGAGCAGAGTTGACTAGGAAGTAAGAAGCCGCAAGAGAGTTCCACAAGCAAGAAGTGCGATAAAAGGAACACTTAGCATAGAACTTACGGTTACATCTAGCCATTTCAACTGTAAAATGACGAGACTTTGCCGCCAATCTAGTACTGCTATTATATTTTATAGAGGAAAGAACAATTACGATGGAAGTATTTATAGAAAAGGCACAGAGAAACTAGATTACGGCGGTGGGAAAGTGACTGAAGCCGAGATGCCACGACTGTACCAATAACATTGCAGATTCTTATTTGGCTTTTATCATGGTAAATATTTAATAAAAATTATGCCGAGAAAAATTGACTAGCACGACACAGTGAACGAGCTTTCTGGGCAGCAAAACTAGAAATTGATTCAATATAATCTTTCCACTTCATATCGGATAGATAGATAGATAGACAGATAGATAATGAACAGTCTGAGATAGATAGATAGATAGATAGATAGATAGATAGATAGATAGATAGATAGATATGAACAGAATAAGACAGACAGACAGATATGAACATAACAAGATAGATAGATAGATAGATGGATAGGAACAGACTGGGGGATAGATAGATAGATAGATAGATAGATAGATAGATAGATAATGAACAGTCTGAGATCGATAGATAGATGAAATAGATAGATAGATAGATAGATAGATAGATAGATAGATAATGAACAGTCTAAGATAGATAGATAGATAGATAGATAGATAGATAGATAGATAGATAATGAACAGTCTGAGATAGATAATGAACAGACTGAGATAGATAGATAGATAGATAGATAGATAGATAGATAGATAGATAGATAGATAGATAGATAATGAACAGTCTGAGATAGATAGACAATAGATAGATGAAATGAGATAGATAGATAGATAGATAGATAGATAGATGAATAGGGAACAGACTGGGATAGAGATAGATAGATAGATAGATAGATAGATAGATAGATAGATAGATAGATAATGAACAGTCTGAGATCGATAGATAGATAGATAGATAGATAGACAGGTAGATAGATAGATAAGGAACAGTTTGAGATAGATAGATAGATAGATAGATAGATAGATAGATAGATAGATAGATGTACCCCAACGAAATCGTTAAAAAATCAGCGTACCCTGATGAAAACATGCTCCAAACGCAAAGAAAACAGTTTTATCATCAAAATCTTTATGCGATTATTAAGAGGAAGGATCAATTTTTTGATTATTTAATTAAATTTTTTCCTCCTTTTTCGAACATTCGAAATTTTGATTAAAAATAGATAGCCAGGGGGTAGTTTTTCGTCTGTTGTGCAAGTCATTTGCTTTAGTATTCCTGTCTTTTCAGGATGAGACTCCCCAACTTTACGATGGAGGGTCACTTCGTCTTTCCAAAATGTCATCTTACTTTCCGAGGTAATATGGCGACTTTTCAAGCGTAGCGTAAATGTGGCACAAGGCCGAAAGTATAGGGCACTTAGTGAGGATCGAACTCACTACTCAGTCGTATTTGTTCTGGCGAGACAACCTTGCTGAACATTACACCGCCCCGTGGTGGCCAACTTTTCGAAGTAATTATATATATATATATATAAAGACTTATATATATATATATATATATATATATATATATATATATATATATATATAATAAAAATTATTACTCTGTCCTGGACATTGAGTTCTACCTGGATTCTATCCTCTTGGAAATTTATTTATATTGATTTATATATATATATATATATATATATATATATATATATTGACCACTAATATTATCCATATATATATATATATATATATATATATAAACTGTTTTCGCTCTCATCAGTGTGGCTCGCCATCCGATTGTTTCAAGACTGGATTGAAACAAGCCTGATTCGGCAAACAGTCGGAGATTTACCCCCCTAAGCCATCAGCGCACGGTTGAAAGACATGCGAATTTTTACGTTCTTTTTCTGTGAGTTAACACGCCAATGACTGAGAGAGCCTTCTAATATTAGTAGTAATAGTCATTGTTTACAAATTCGCACTTATCTTCCAAGAGGACACAACCGAATTTAAGTTTTTCAAAAAAAAAAATTTTTCCTGCGGATTTTTTCTCCTGTTTTCAAGAATTTCTGTCTGGTTATGCAGTGGCTGATTTATCGTCGGCCAGCAATTGACGCCGGAAGGAAAAATCTGCTAAAGATACGAACATAATTTGTGACCAACGTGAAATGTCAAATGGTAGCAAGCAACCGTAAAAACATGGAAATTGTATACGAGATTGTACGAGAACAAGACGTGAGTTGGCTAGGAATATTGCAGTAAACAGGAATAAGAGATGCGTTCAAAGAAGTCGACTAATGATGGATTACTAATGAGATAAATAAAGCCAATTACATAATGTTACACAAAACCATTTTGTCAGACAATTCTTTGTATTCATGACTTTTCATTCAGCAAAGAATAACTTGATTTTTCACGCACGCACAACTTTATCAAACATGAATCAGAGGCCTTGCTGTTGGACGTAGTTTATCGTCTTACCCAGGACGCGGATGTAGTTTATCGTCATACCCGGGACGCGGATGTAGTTTATCGTCATACCCGGGACGCGGATGTAGTTTATCGTCATACCTTGAACGAGGGAGCTTTAAAGTAAAAAAAGGAATTTAAAAGTTGAATACATGGTAGATGACACTTGGATTTCATGCATAGACATGTTTGCATGGACATATGGAGGCACAGTGGAGTAATGGATAGCGGCTCGGATTGAGAAATCAGAGAGCCGAGTTCGAATTCCAGTCGAATCCATAACATTCACTTACGTGCTAAGGTATGAATCCTGTTCTTCTCCACCCACCACCCAGCTATGGGTAAATAGCAGAACAGACCGTGTTTTTTAGGCTTCGTTGGCAACCAGTCTACCGCAGAAGAAAATGGCAACCTACTGCTGGAAATAATCTACCTCGCCCAAACGTGTACCACGTATGGCACTTAACTGACTGAAACGAAAATAAGTAAATATACTGTTTAATTAAAAAAAAAAAGCGTCTACTTACAGGACGGCTCTTTCTGGCCATTCTAGAATTAGTCTATGATCGGAATTCGCTAGCTTCCGTCTGAGTTGCACTTTATCCCAAATTTTTCTGTATTTCCCTTTTCCTACTAAAAATAGCGTGTAAAGTGATAAAAGAAGTCGGGTTAATAAAAAAAAATCCATTACTTCTTTAAAAAATCGTAAAGTAGTGTGGAATGTCAACGTCTTGATTGCTGCTATTGGTAGTCCTCAAGTGGTGTGGTTTCTGTTATTTGGTACAGATCTTTGTTTGTTATTCTAAAGCGCCAGTTCCCGACTGTTCTTCTGACTGCAGCTCTCTATATTTTGATGGACACCTTTTGACTAGAAACTGAAAACCGACTCGCCCCTACTACCCCTCTCTACATCACGGCGGGCGTCTTGTCACTCCTTACAGGACGGTTTCTTTCTGGCCATTCTAGAATACGGTCTGGTTATATTAGCCTATGATCGGAATTCGCTATCTTCCGACTGAGTTGCGCATTATCCCAAATTTCTTCTGTATTTATTTCTTTTTTCCTACTAAAGGTAGCGTGTAACGTGATAAAAGAAATCGGGTTAATAAAAAAAAATCCATTACTTCTTTAAAAAATTGTAGTGTGGAATGTCAACATCTTGATTGTCATTATTTTCTCTGCAAGTCCTCAAGTGGTGTGGTTTCTGTTATTTGGTACAGATCTTTGTTATTCTAAAGCGCCAAAATGACTTTTGCCAAGACCAGCAGGCCTCAAACAGCTGAAAACATTTTTCACCATTGATCCTAGGAAGTAGTTGTATATAGCTGGCATTTTAGATATTTCTGAACAGGTTAGGCGCTATGCATAGCATCCATATAAATGCCTCGGTCTGGCTATTTAAGGACGTGACTTGAGTTTAATGTTTTGGCTTTGTAACAATCTACGGTGTTGAGCGAAACTAGTTCTAGCAGTCTATTGTATGTTTAATTTAGGTAAATTCATCAGCTGATTATCGCTGCTACTTGCGTGTTCTTTCACAACAGACTAACGGAAAAGATCTTCCTTCCTTTCGGCCTGTAAAAAACACCCAACTCTCCCTCTAACTGCGGCTCTCTATATTTTGATGGACACCTTGTGACTAGAAACTGACAACGATTCGCCCCTACTGCCCCTCTCTACATCACGGAGGACGGCTTGTCACCCCTTACAGGACGGTTCTTTCTGGCTATTCTAGAATACGGCCTGATTATATTAGCCTATGATCGGAATTTGCTACCTTCCGACTGAGTGGCACTTTATCCCAAAAGTTTTTTTTTCTATATTTATTTCCCTTTTGCTTATATGTTGAAAGCGAGTGGTTGCTTTGAAGATCACATGTCTCAATAAACCTGTCAGTTGTCATAAAACACCAGTGTATTCGGCCCAGATAAAATCATTTACAAATATATAAAAAGAAATATTGATCGAACTTTTAGTCCTCAAGCAAGAGGGGAAATTCAGAGGTTAATATCATAACCTATGAAAATATGCCATTTTTGAACTTAGCACATAAAAAAAAATGTTATTCTTCTTCTGCTGCTGCTTCTTCTCTTCCTCCTCTTTCTTCTTCTTTTCCTCCTTCTACTCCTCTTCTTCGTAATAATTTTTTTATTCTTCTGCATCTCAGCTTTCTCCGTCTTACATCTCCGCTTCCATTTTAATTATCATCATCTTCCAATTCCTCTTTTTCTTTTACTCCTCTTGCTCTTGTTCTCTTTCTCCTCCTCCTCCTCCTGAGTCTTCTTATTTCTTCTACCGTATTCTCTTCCCCCTTCTACTTCCTCCTTTTCTCTCACTCCCTACTTTTCTTTCTCTGTCCCTCATTTAATCTTCTGTTTTGCCTTCTTCTTTAGCCTCACTTCCTTCCACTTTTTCACCTTCTACTCCTCTTCATTCTCTTTTCCTCCTCCTCCTCCTCCTCCTGACTCTTCTTATTTCTTCTACTGTATTCTCTTCCCCTTACTTCCTCCTTTTCTCTCTCCCCTACTTTTCTTTCACTGTCCCTCATTTAATCTTCTGTTTTGCCTCCTTCTTTTCACCTCCTTCCACTTTTTTCACCTTCTCCTCCCTTCCTTTTTTTTCATCCTCCTCTCCTCCTGACTCTTCTTATTTCTTCTGTATTTTTCCCCCTCCTCCTCCTTTCCTCCTCCCCTACTTTTCTTTCTCTTCTCCTTTATTTCTTCTTCTTCTTTAGCCTCACCTCCTTCCCACTTTTTCACCTTCTACTCCCTTCATTCTCCTCCTCCTCCTCCTCCTCCTCCTGACTCTTCTTATTTCTTCTACTGTATTCCCCTTTTCTCTTCTACTTTTCTTTTCTGTCCCTCCTTTTTAATCTTTCTGTTTTGCCTCCTTCTTTAGCCTCTCCTTCCACTTTTTTTCACCTTCTACTCTTTTTTCATCTTCTGTTTCCTCCTCCTCCTTCTTTAGCCTCACCTCCTTCCTTTAATCTTCTGTTTTCACCTTTAGCCTCACCTCCTTCACTTTTTCTTTCTCCTCCTCCTCCTCCTCCTCCTCCTGACTCTTCTTATTTCTTCTACCGTATTCTCTTCCCCCTTCTACTTCCTCCTTTTCTCTCACTCCCTACTTTTCTTTCTCTGTCCCTCCTTTAATCTTCTGTTTTGCCTTCTTCTTTAGCCTCACCTCCTTCCACTTTTTCACCTTCTACTCCTCTTCATTCTCTTTCTCCTCCTCCTCCTCCTCCTCCTCCTGACTCTTCTTATTTCTTCTACCGTATTCTCTTCCCCCTTCTACTTCCTCCTTTTCTCTCACTCCCTACTTTTCTTTCTCTGTCCCTCCTTTAATCTTCTGTTTTGCCTTCTTCTTTAGCCTCACCTCCTTCCACTTTTTCACCTTCTCCTCTTCATTCTCTTTTCCTCCTCCTCCTCCTCCTGCTCCTGACTCTTCTTATTTCTTCTACTGTATTCTCTTCCCCTTCTATTTCCTCCTTTTCTCTCACTCCTCACTTTTCTTTCTCTGTCCCTCCTTTAATCTTCTGTTTTGCCTTCTTCTTTAGCCTCACCTCCTTCCACTTTTTTCACCTTCTCCTCCCTCTTCATTCTCTTTCTCCTCCTCCTCCTCCTCCTCTTCCTGACTCTTCTTATTTCTTCTACTGTATTCTCTTCCCCTTCTACTTCCTCCTTTTCTCACACTCCCTACTTTTTTTCTCTTTCCCTCCTTTAATCTTCTGTTTTGCCTTCTTCTTTCTCACCTCTTTCTCCTTCATTCTCTTTTTCTCCTCCTCCTCCTCCTCCTGACTCTTCTTATTTCTTTGTATTCTCTTCCTTCTGTTTTCTCCTTTTTCTTTCTCTTCCTCCTTTTCTTCTGTTTTGCCTTCTTTTAGCCTCACCTCCTTCCTTTTTTTCACCTTCTACTCCTCTTCATTCTCTTTCTCCTCCTCCTCCTCCTCCTCCTGACTCTTCTTATTTCTTCTACCGTATTCTCTTCCCCCTTCTACTTCCTCCTTTTCTCTCACTCCCTACTTTTCTTTCTCTGTCCCTCCTTTAATCTTCTGTTTTGCCTTCTTCTTTAGCCTCACCTCCTTCCACTTTTTCACCTTCTACTCCTCTTCATTCTCTTTCTCCTCCTCCTCCTCCTCCTCCTCCTCCTCCTGACTCTTCTTATTTCTTCTACCGTATTCTCTTCCCCCTTCTACTTCCTCCTTTTCTCTCACTCCCTACTTTTCTTTCTCTGTCCCTCCGTTAATCTTCTGTTTTGCCTCCTTCTTTAGCCTCACCTCCTTCCACTTTTTCATCTTCTCCTCCTCTTCATTCTCTTTCCTCTCCTCCTCCTTCTTCCCCTTCCCTTCCTCACTCTCCTCGCTCTTCCTCGTCCTTTTTTTTGTTCGGCCTCCTGCTTCTTTCTTCTTCTTCATTCTTCTTTTTTCCTACACATTTTTTAACTTCTTTCTCCTCTTCATCCTCCACCTCCTTCTTCCTGTTCTTCTTCTCTTCCTTCCTTCCTTCCTCATCTGCACTTCCTTCTTCTACTCCCTCTTTCTCCTCCTCCTCCTTTGTCTTTCTCTTCCCTTCCTCACCCTCCTCGCTTTCCCTCGTCTTCCTCTTCTTCTTCGACTTTTGTTCGTCCTTCTCTATTTCCTCCTACTCTTCCTCCTTCTTCCTCTCTATATTTATCTTCTTTCTCTTCTTCTCCCTCCTCCACCTTCTTTCTGTTCTTCTTCTCTTCCTTCCTTCCTCATCTTCGCTTACTCCTTCTACTCCCTCTTTCTCCTCCGCCTTCTTCTTCGTCTTCCTCTCCCCTTCCTCACCCTCCTCGCTTTCCCTCGTCTTCCTCTTCCTCGTCTTTCTCTTCTTCTTCGACTTTTGTTCGTCCTTCTCTACTACCTCCTACTCTTCCTCCTTCTTCCTCTCCATATTTATCTTCTTCTTTCTCTTCTTCCTCCTCCTCCACCTTCTTCCTGTTCTTCTTCTCTTCCTTCCTTCCTCATCTTCACTTCCTCCTTCTACTCCCTCTTTCTCCTCCTCCTTCGTCTTCCTCTTCCCTTCCTCACCCTCCTCGCTTTCCACTGTCTTCCTCGTCTTCTTCTTCCATCCCTCACCCTTCTCGCTTTCCCTCGTCTTCCTCTTCCCTTCCTCACACTCCTCGCTTTCGCTCGTCTTTATTTTCTTCCTCTTCGTCGTCTTCTTTTGTTCGTCCTCCTCCTACTTCCTCCTTCTTATTCTTATTCTTTCTCCTCTTCATCCTCCTCCAGCTTCTCCTTGTTCTTCTCTTTCTTCCTTCCTCGTCTTCGCTCCCTCCTCCTCCCTCTTTCACCTCCTCCTTCGTCTTCCTCTTCCGTTCCTCATCTTCCTCGCTTTCTCTCGTTTTCATCCCCTTCCTCCTCTTCTTCTTCTACTTTTCTTCTTCTTTTGTTCGTCCTCCTGCTACTCCTTCCTCCTCCTCCTACTTCTTCTTCTTCCTCTCTATTTTTATTTTCTTCTTTCTCCTCTTCATCCTCCTCCTCCTCCTCCTCCTCTTCCATCTTCTTCCACTTCTTCAACTTTCTTCTTTGTATACTCTGTTCTAGCCGAGTGATATCAAATGTTATTGACAGTCCGTTCGTGTAAATAAGTTTCGCGTAAGTACTTAAGTTTCCACTGTTGTTTACGAATTCTCTTTCGCGATGTAAATAAAGACCTCTTGGGAAATCATCGGAAAAACATTTGCTTTTAAAGGCGAACTGATTCGGCCAAGTACAACGGGGCGCGATTTAAGTCCGGCACGCTAGAACTCAAAGACAATTTTCACAAGGAAGCAGCCGCACAAAAACGTATTTCCCATAATGCATTTCATGAGTTCGGAACTCGTAGATGCAAAAAAAAAATCGAAGGGTCTGCCTTGATTAAAGATGAGAGTTTTTAGCGCTTTAAGTAAACTCTGAGGATCACTATTAGGCCTCCCCCCAATTGAAGAGCGATTGACATCAACGTGACACTGGACGTACGATTCTTCTCACTGATAACCCAAACTGCGACTATCTATAATGCGGTTGGATTATATAAGCCCGTGACCGGAATTCCCTACCTTCCGGGCGAGTAGCACTTGACCCCGTAAGTTTTTTTTTTTTTCATTATTATTTTATTTCTCTCATCCCTACATTTCTAAAGTGGACGGTTGCTTTGAATCTCTCGATTTTAACTCTCTTTGTTATAAAACTGCAGAGGCTTCAGGCTCATATACACTTAAATATACACTTAAAACCCACTTGTCTGTGTGAATGAGCTAATGTTGCGTTGCGCGTCAGACCGGACACCGAGTTCGTTGACAGGGTGCAGTTTCTTAGGATCAAACGCTTGTGACTTAAAAATCAATCTTCGGCCAGATCGTTACCCACGAGTGAAGAACAAAACAATTCCTAGCAGTAAACCAGATTTTATTCTTGCGAGCGAAGTAGAGATGAGTCGTGAGTGAGTGAGTTGGAAGGTGCATTGTTCAGCTCCGTTCCTTATGTGTGCCTTTTCTCGGGATTGTCAGTTTTATAGATAACAGTTTTCTTTGTCTTATCATCTTCGTCTAAAAAAGTAATTAATCTTTATTCCGTGACTTTCTTTCAGTCTGAGCCTGTTGCTCTGTACCTTGTTGTTTACTTCGCTTACGGTCGAAAGTAAATGTTCCGTATCTATTTTTGCGACGGGTCCAGCTGCTTTTAATTTAACAAGACGTCATCTGACTCATATTGCTACCCTAAACCAATTGAGTGAAGACACATTGTACTACAGAGAAACGGATTCATTGGGTTAGCATATTCTTTTCTAGTGAAAGGAAAGTTTTATTTTTATTCCTCACAAATTTTACTCTTGCCGATGGCTGAAGATTGGCTCAGCCGAATGGTTGTCACGACAACATCTAATACGCGAAGAAGGAATTTAATTGTCTGGGTAAAATTTATAATGTTAACTCTTCTCAAATTTCTAGATTGTATGCTAGAAGTGGTTTGCGAAATTACACAACTAACCATTGCTCTACGGCAGACACGAAAGGAAGTAATAAAAATCAATGAATTATATCATATGCAATATTTGGTCGATTCCACCGAGAGACTGTTGTAAATAACTTTGCCAACTAATATGGACAGGAAAACTACAGGGTGTTTCAAAAAATATACATATTTTTAAGTTTTCGCAAGTAATAATTCAAGCGATTCTAGGAATATTTGCAGGAAATATTTTTGTCGTAGGAAAACTCGCCTCAGGAATTTTCACTGTAGAAGACTTTACCGTATAGGACTTTTGCAGTAAGAAAAATTGTCTTACGGCAAAAATTGTCTTACGCTACATTCTTGTTTAATATGCGAAGTACCTTGTCATCATACTTATTATAAAACCCAAGTTGTGTGTGTCTGTTCGTTTATATATTGAATCGGATTTCCTACATTTTTCAACCGATTTCAACAAAACTTCACAGGACTGCGTAAAATTACCTTGCAGTGGTTCTGACAGCGCCAAAAATTGGAAAAACACAATTGTTTTTGCACGAAATCAATTTGAAACACGATTAAGAGGCATCGCTGTCGCGAGAATGAAAGGCGAACAACTCATACCGAGTTATACTTATAAAACCCAGGATGTGTGTGTGTGTGTGTGTGTGTGTGTGTGTGTGTGTGTGTGTGTGTGTGTGTGTGTGTGTGTGTGCTCGTTTAAATATGGGATCGGATTTCCTACATTTTTCAACCGATTCCAACAAAACTTCACTTTGAAGGGGGGGCAGGTAGTGTTATTGTCTTGCACACTTTTTTCTTTACTTTTACATTCAGAATGCTTTAAAAGTTCCATTTACAAGACAATTGTTTATAATAAAATTCTATTCAATCGATAGACTCATAACGATTGAAAACAATGCTTTTATTTGAGTTTGGGTTTGACCAATTTGTAAAAAAAATAAAAAATAAAAAAAAATAATTAAGACATGCGTGTCCGTCAACCTTAAACAATAATCTTATTTTTCAGTTTTTATGATGGTCGATACTTGATCTATCTCTTACTGTTACATCCCCGGGCAACGCCGGGCTCTACTCCTAGTCAAATATATATGGTTCATACTATTGTTACTTCGATTTAAACATTTTAATGAGCGAAATTATAGGATCAAAATCCTATATCATTAATCCTCGTCAGTGAGGAGCGCAAATATTTCAACTTGACACCAGAATCTACGTCACGCAATTTCATATTTCAGACTTAACATTAAACTTTCTGTTAATATAATATCAGTCTGTCAGTAATTCTCTCTCAAGCAATTTAGTTTTGAAATTTACACAAATTATTTCCAAACAAACTGTTTTAAATTCACTATTTCTTCGCTAATTTGATATATGTTTAGTGTTTTATTTTTTAAATAAATGTTTACTTTTTAATTTCTTTGCTGATGTTTAACCCTGTTAAAAAGAGACATCCATATATACTTGATAACAATGTACGTCGCATATTAAATTGAACGTTGCACCAACAGGGACGTTAAAGTTAAGGGTCCCGAAAAAAATGCGGCGAAACTGTTTTACGGCGAAATTGTCTTACGGCAAAGATCCTATACGGCGAAGTTTCATATGGCGGAAATTCCCGAGGCGATTTTTCATACGGCAAAAATGTTTACGGCGAATGTTCCGGATACGAATCCAAGCAAATAGAACCAACTACAGAGTAACCCGTATATAAGACCCCGGATATAAGAGAAACCCGGATATAAGATAGATTTTCTCTGGTCCCAAATTAGAGCCTGTGTTAATGTATATAAAATAGACCAAACCCGGATATAAGAGAAACCCGGATATAAGAGACTTCTTCTCCAGTCCCGACAACTCTCTTACATCCGGGTTAAACTGTATATCTAATTTAAATAAAGACAGTATTTATTGTAAATACTAGCACTTTACATCACATGTTTTCAAATGGAGGTCTGTTCTGATTCAGACATTGCTAACAACGTGACGCAATGGAATCACAAGAAGAAATCCACATTTCGATATGTTTCTTGGACATCTGTGAAAAATTTTCCATCAGCCTTTCTTGCTCTACAGGGCGTGGTTGATATCTGTGGTCGCCCGGGACGGTTTTTATGCACATCGTGTACAGGTACTAACTGCTTCAAACTTATTTCTAATTAGTGAGATTGTAGTGATTTTCCAAGCACAAGGCCGAAAGGAGAGAGGCACCCAGTGAGAATCGAACTCACTATTCAGTCGTTATTGTTCTAGCTAGACAAGCTTGCTAACCATTACACCACCTCGAGGTGACCAAGAAATTTCCCAAGCTTGGCTTAGATGTGGCACAAGGCCGAAAGTATGGGGCACCCAGTGAGGATCGAACTCACTTTTCAGTAGTAACTGATCTAACAAGCCAAGCTTGCTAACCATTACACCACCTCGAGGTACCAAAGAAATTTCCCAATCGTAGCTTAGATATGGCACAAGGACGAAAGTAGAGAGGCACCCAGTGAGAATCGAACTCACTCTTCAGTCGTAATTGTTCTAGCGAGACAAGCTTGCTAACCATTACACCGACTCGAGGTGCCCAATTAGTGAGATTTAAACCGCGTTGGTTGATCTGAAATGAAACTTTACTCAATACCGCCATTGATTCATGTCACTAATATTGATTCATAAAAGTGAAACTTAACTGAAGCTTGGAAGGAAATCCCTCTTGGTACTCTCCGTATGGCCACTGCCTCCTCCTGCTTACCACGCTTACAACTTTGTGTTGAACATTCAGGCAAATATTTCGAACATCTACGATGATTATTCCGTTTGGGGACAGAAATGATGACTGCTAAATAAATTTCTTTCTGAAGTTACCACTTTTTTTACTAGACCCTGTATATTTAATTTAAATAATGCATACGAAGACTTGATTATAAAGACATGCTTTTAAGATTTTTGTCATCTCATGTTTTCAAATTGATGCCCGTTTTCATCCAGACATTGCTGACAACACAACACAATGGAATCACAAATAGAAATCTACATTTCGATGTGATTCTTGGACTTCTGTGAAAACTTTCCCTCACCCTTTCTTGCTCAACAGATGGTTGATATCTGTGGTCACCCGGGACGGTTTTTATACACATCGTGTACAGGTACCAACAGCTTCAAACTTATCTCTAATATCTATCTATCTATCTATCTCAATGTTTTCATATCTATCTATCTATATTTTCATATACAGAGTCTCTCAAAAAATGTATACACATTTTGCACCTTTCTGAAGAAATAATTCAAGCAACCTGAAGGAAGTCCAGGGTAGCCAGTAAAAAAAGCGGAAAATTTATTCTTCGAGAAAAGACACCATCTTTATTTGGTCCATCTCTCTGGTCTGAATGTTATGGATTCCTGTATCTGGAGTATGTTTCTCACTCACATTCAAAACAGTCGTCATGACATCGTCGATATTGATTCATTGAAGTCGAACTTAACTGAAGCTTGGAATGAAATTCCACTTGACACTATTCGCAAGGCCACTGCCTCCTCCTGCTTACCACGCTTACAACTTTGTGTTGAACATTCAGGCAAATATTTCGAACATCTACGATGGTTGTTCAGTTTC